TTCAACATTGCACTCAGTGTAAAAGTTGTGGTTTGGGATGATAAGAATTACTCTATTTTCCGGTTTACAAGACGAACTTTTTTCCTTAAAAAATACCATGAAAAATACGTGTGCGCCTTCCAAGACGAATTTAAGGAAACGCCCAGGCTCAAGTAAGCTTGGACGGTCACCTAATTGGCTTAACTGATAGGAATGTGGATTTGTATGTTGAGTCATTACACTATAATGTTAGCTATCTAATTTAAACTTTTATATGATGTAACCTCAGTACTTAGTTGTTACATGTATTTCTAAGACTATAAACCTTCCTGGAGCCGAGCCACAAGCTTAAAAATGCTCTGTTTACTATCAGCGGAGGGAGCCTTTCTGCTCTTAACTAGTACGTCATTGCCATATAAACAAAATCGGACGAGTGATTAATGTAAACAATTCGTGGCGCCTGTATGAGAAGGGTGCATGGTGAATGTGTTGTTGCATGAGAATTTTTTTTCTTAGAAATTTCTTTCCAGTATTAGAGTGCGTCTTCCATGCCGCAGCGTCTTGTAAGCCGAAAAATACGGTAACACCAAATATTAGATTTATAGCTTTTCCCAATTTTTGAGTATTTAGTTTTAAAACCGTCTGAAAAAAATATACAGAAATACCAAATTTCCGCTGTTTTTTGCTTACAAACTGATTTCAAAACATTACTATTTAAAAAATAAATCTAAATAAAGTTGATACTTTGGCATTAGATACATTGAATAAAACGTATATTCAAACCAGAATTCTATTTATAAATCATCACAAGCAATATATGTATTTCTTTACTGTATTCGGTAAGTAAAAAATTGTAAAAGATTACAAAAAAGCGACTCATTGAATAAGATTTGTCAGATCCGAATAAACAAAAACGGAAAAGAGATAAAATTTTATTTTAAGGCATTTTTATGTTTATACATTCTTTTTTATAGATAAACATATTTAAGTAAATGCTCTGTTTATAATAAACAGTATTAACAACATTTACCAACCTGAATGTCCGAGAAATTGTCATAGAAAATATACGTCCTTCGACAGGAATCGAACCTGTATCCTAAACGGAACTGTCATATAGCCTGACGTGCTTTATAAAAACATAAAAATGCCTTAAAATAATTGTCGGTCTTTGTCCATTTCATTATGTGTGACGTCATTTGTTTACATTTAGATAAGAAATGAGCAGATATGAATGTACGATAGAAAATCATGGAGAATTGTAGTTTAAAAACAGTAAAATCGACCTTGCTAACCGAAACGGTCCTCTGTAAAGCACGTCAGGTTATATGACGGTTCCGTGTAGGATACAAGTTCGATTCTTATCGGAGGACACATATTTTCTATGAAAATTTCTCGGACATTCATTGGCATATTCACAATATGTCAATCATATGGCTGAGATACGTAGCTGACACCTTCATACCCTAGCCACACCAGAAATCCGTTCAGCTACTATTGGACCATACGAACTCAATAAGATCATTGATAGAGTTTACAGTGGAGTAAGAAAACAACAACAAACTCGATTTCCTGGATGTTCTAATAATTTGAACAGAGCAGGGATTCAAGAGATCCAAATATCGCAAGCCAACATTCACCGGACAATACATCAACTTCAACTCCCACCATCCATACAGTGTAAAGAAAGCAATTACCCGTTGCTTATAATATCTGGAAAAAATCATAGGGGGAGAGTTGAGTTAAAGGGAATTAACTGAGACATCCGGAATAGGCATGGTATGTGGAACTGGAAAAATTAGACGAAATAAAAGCTACACCATGAGCAGATATGAATGTACGTGAGAGAATCATGGAAGATTGTAGTTTAAAGACAGTAAAATCGACCTTGCTAATCGAACGCTCCTCTGTGGCCAAATCGGTTAACGCACGTCAGGCTATAGGACGGTTCTGTATAGGATACAGGTTCGATTACTGTCGGACGACGAATATTTTCTATGAAAAGTTCTCGGACATTCAAGCCGGTAAATGTTATTTAATACTGTTTATTATAAACAGAGCACTTACTTAAATATTAGTATCGATAAAAAAGAATGTATAAACATAAAAAATATCTTAATAATATATATATATATATATATATATATATATATATATATATATATATATGAGAATACAATTTTAGAGTTTGAGATCATTTTATTGTGATAAAACCTTTCGAAAATTTCACCATATAGATTATGCGTTTGTATATATGTTTAAATGAGTGTTATTAGGCGCAATATATATATTATATGTGTGTATGTGTGTCTGTATGCATATAGTTCTATCGCAGTTCTATCGCAGAAAATTTCAAGACAGATTCGCGTCTACCTTCATAATACAGGAAAATACTTGTGGAAAACTTCAGTATACTGCACCACAAAAATAAACATTAAACTTCAAATACTTGAGGCTATCTTTATCAAAAAACAACCAACCAATACTGAGGATTTATCCCGAGTATTGTAGCAGGGTTTTAAAAGAGATTTGTATCGACTAACATGAAACACCATTTTCAAGTTAACCATCGCTGGTTATCCATCTTGCATTAAGATCGCTTATTTGCAAAACATCGCAAACACAACGATTAATTTTAAAAGCGAGTTTGCAAATATCACGATCACAACGATTAGAAGTTTGTCTTCGAAATTCACCCCGAGGATCATCACGGATGAATACTTGGGTTAAAAAAAAATGGCGTCTTCCTTGATGAATTTCAATTTAACATCAAGAAGATAATTAGATAACTAGAAAGTATTATTGTAAAAATAAATAGACATAAAGGAACTACATTATATAATGAAACAGGCTTGAATGAAGATATGATGTCTATATATATATATATATATATATATATATATATATATATATATATATATATATATATATGCATTTAAATAATGAAAGTCTTGGTAATCCGTAGGATAATAATCCCAAGGAGGATGAAATCCAGATAGCTCAATGTTAGGTCAGAGTGAATAATTTAATTTAAAGAAAAAAAACAGACAACTTTAAAGTTCTATCGAGATTTCAACCTTAAAGGTTCCATTAAGGTTAATGGTTCCATTAAGGTTCCTAAGGTTCAATTAATGTTTCAAACTTAAAGTGGTCTGTTTTTTTTCTTTAAATTTATATATATATATATATATATATATATATATATATATATATAAGAAAAAAACGTTCAATATATATATATATATATATATATATATATATATATTGAACGTTCTTTTTTTTAAATTATATATATATATAATATATATTAAATTATATATATATAATATATATTAAATTCTATATACATATATATATATGGTGAACGTTCTATTTTTTAAATTATATATATATATATATATATAATATATTAAATTATATATATATAGATACACCTAGGAGCCAGACAATATATATTTATATATATATATATATATATATATATATATATATATATATATATATATATATATTTTTTTTTCTTTCATTTTGAATGCGTCTATGTATGTGCAAGTCTCTCTGTATGTCGATGCATATTTACAAGTGTGTGTGTGTGTGAGAATATGTTGCGTGCTTTCCTGTGTAACACGTGTGTGTGTGTGTGTGTGATTGGGGTGGGGGGGTAGGGGGAGAGCGTTGCATATGAACAGTCGAGTTTCAAGGAGAGAACCTTTTGTCCTTTTCGCCCCTTGTCTGTTCGATAAGCCCATTGCTATCGGTCGCCTTCACAACTTATTGGCTGTGTGTAACGTTTGCCTGGCATGAAACCCTGCCAAAGAGGGCGGTCGCTATCACTGGAGGCGGTATCTTCATTCTCGTTGTCTCTCACCGACGCACTTAATCAATAGCCGAACCTAGCGAACCCGTTTTCCATTAATCCGTCGTCTCAAAATGATACCAACTGCCTCGGGTGCTTTTACAGAAACACCAACTTCTTCAGTTTGCTCGGTCCTTGAAACTACGCCAAAAGAATATTGTACACAGACACAAACACAAGACCACCCTCCAATATCTATCTATCTATATATATATATATATATATATATATATATATATATGCATTTACTTTCATTTTAGGCAAGCGTAAAATATATGTATACACACTCATATATAAGATATGATAGATCGAAATAGTTTACCCTTTTATAATATATATATATATATATATATATATATATATATATATATATATATATATATATATATATATATATATATATATATATATATATATATATATATATATATATGCATTTACTTTCATTTAGACAAACGTAAAATATATGCATATATAAAATATGGTAGATCGAAACATTTTACCATTTTTAAACGCAATATATATATATATATATATATATATATATGTGTGTGTGTGTGCACATATATATGCATTTACTTTCATTTGGACAAGCGTAAAATATATGCATACACACACATATAAAAGATGGTAGATCGAAATATTTTACCCCTTTTTTAAACACAATATATATATATATATATATATATATATATATATATATATATATATATATATATATACCTGGTTTGTCAGGTCCATGAATCTCCAAGTTGCATTGATGGCGTGGGACATTATGTCTATTTATTAATATATACTTAATACGAATAAGTCTGTCATATTGCATTGGGCACTGTTTTTAATTTCACGTTTTTAATTTCGTTTATAATATTTATTTCGTGAACACCGATATGTTCAGCTCATCAGAACGAATCCTCCTCCGCAAATGGAGAAAGTACACACACACACATATATATATATATATATATATATATATATATATATATATATATGTGTGTGTGTGTGTGTGTTTACGTAATATGTAAATTTATGTAAATGTAAAGATGCATATACATGTATGCTACTTGATTTTATGTATATGAATATATATACAAATTTTGGTCTGCATTTATTTTATGCGTGTATAGATCAGATTATGTGACTGTTTTAAAGACACCGATCTGCTTGTATGTGCCATTTTACATATACTCAAGTGAGTATGTGTGCGTGTTTTAAAGCTTAAAAACACAGATACGATACACCACACACACTCACACACACACACACACACACACACACATATATATATATATATATATATATATACATATATATACATATATTATATATATATAATGGCTATTTTGGACGGTTTCTTTCTGTTATTTTGATCTTTATTTCTATAAAAGCTCTTCAATTGTTTGCAAATAAATCAAAATGTTCAATTCATCCCAAATAATATCATCACAAGCACATCTCCGCCTCTACACTTAATCAGCCTGTCTCTCTATCGATTATCTGTTCATTTCGCAATTAATCTCATTCGCTTAATATCTATCTATCTATCTATCTCATTCTCTTCACTATCTATCTATCTATCTATCTATCTATCTATCTATCTATCTATCTCATCTATCACCATCATCTATCTATCTATCTATCTATCTATCTATCCATCTATCTATCTATCATCTCATTCTCTTCACTATATCATCCATCCATCTATCTATCTATCTATCTATCTATCTATCTACCTATCTCATTCTCTTCACCATCCATCTATCTATCTATCTATCTATCTATCCATCCATCTATCTATCTATCATTCTCTTCACCATCCATCTATCCATCTATCCATCTATCTCATTCTCTTCACTATCCATCCATCCATCCATCCATCTATCCATCCATCCATCTATCCATCCATCCATTCTCATTCTCACCATCTATCCATCCATCCATCCATCATCCATCCATCCATCTATCTATCTCATCTCTCACCATCCATCTATCCATCCATCTATCTATCTATCTATCATATCCATCCTCATCTCTTCACCATCCATCTATCTATCCATCCATCTATCTCATTCTCTTCACTATCCATCTATCTATCTCATCTCTCTTCACCATTCATCTATCCATCTATCTATCCATCTATCTATCCATCCATCATCTCATTCTCTTCACCTCATCCATCCATCTATCTATCTCATTCTCTTCACTATCCATCCATCCATCTATCTATCCATCCATCATCCATCCATCTATCTATCTATCTCATTCTCTTCACCATCCATCTATCTATCTATCCATCTATCTATCTATCTATCTCATCTCTTCACTATCTATCTATCTATCTATCTATCTATCTATCTATTCATTCATTCATCTATCTATCTCATTCTCTTCACTATCTATCTATCTATCTATCTATCTATCTATCTATCTATCTATCTATCTATCTCATTCTCTTCACTATCTATCTATCTATCTATCTATCTATCTATCTATCTATCTATCTATCTATCTATCTATATGATTACAACCATATTTATATGTACATATGTGTGTCTGTGTTTTGATACATATAGCAATATAATATCGTTGTGTACCATGTCTGTAGAATTGAGTTATATAGATAGACAGATATGAAAATATTGACATTGAGAGATGAACTCATTAAGATAGATAGATAGATAGATAGATAGATAGATAGATAGATAGATAGATAGATAGATGCATACATACATACATACAAAGTTAGAGTAAGGGAGAGGAAAAGATGGAAAGAGGTCTACTAGGAGATTAAGTGTACGCATCTCAAATATATATATATATATATATATATATATATATATATATATATATATATATATATATTATATTTGGTCATTATGTTCGCTATGCATCACCTTTTCGTCCATATAAGTGGTCATAGTCTTTCGGACAGACAATTATCGGAAATAATGAAATTCGACATTTTTGAAAGTTTTCCAGGTTACTTGGCTTGAGTTGTTAAAATAAGGAAATGGATATTTTTTTTTCCAATTACGAAATTAGAATCTGAAAACCCCAAAAGAAACAACGAAAAATAAAAAGCTACAGCATTTCAATAAAATCCCTTTGAGTTGGGCTCCGGTAGAAGAATTTGGTTTTGTTTTTTTGTTTTTTTTGTTTAAGAATTCTTTTTAATTGCATGATCTTTCGGGGTAAACAACACAACAACACCAAAAACAATGATAATAATAATAATAATAACAATAATAATAATAATAATAATTCGAGAGTTTGGTATAACTACACACAAAAATAATTCCAAATAATTTTAAATCGTTGCTTTTTACCTAAAATTTTGATTTTAAAGTTTGTAAAAAGAAAGAATAATAAAATTTCTAATCATTTTTTGGGGAACATCTACAGATGGTAACTTATCTATTTGTCTGCTCAAATCTATCTATCTATCTAGCTAGCTAGCTAGCTATCTATCTGTTCAGATATATTTATATATCTATCCATCTGTTGATATCTATCTATTTTTGAATTTCTCCGAATAATTCCATAAGACAATTGTCTTTTTCATCTCTCTCTCTCTCTCTCTCTCTCTCTCTCTCTCTCTCTCTCTATCTATCTATCTATCTACCTTCTCGTATCTCTCTGTTCCTATATATCCATGTATCTATCCTTTCTTTTTTTTCTTTTCTTTTTTAAGCAATTCACCTCAAGAATGGCAGCAGTGCCACTAGTACGTAAGAGGCTACAGATTGTGTATGTCAGGTAAAAGGCTGGATATAGTGGGGACTGAGGAAAGGATAAAAAAGGACGGGGTTCAAGCAAAAGAAGATGTCGATTGACATTACATTAAATTTTTTGAAGATTATACTTATCAGAGAAGCACTTAAGAGGAAAGGATTTCCACTGTCGGTAAATGCGAGAGACGACGTTGGAGTAGAGGTGGCGGTTACCTTTACCTTTTTCGACAGTAAAAGGGTGGGATATTGCTGCCATATATGGTCTGATACACCCGGTGTTCATCTCAAAGTTCTAGACAAAATCCAAAGACGGATATGCAGCGTGATCTGTCCTGACTTGGCATCTCGGCTCCAGTCACTTTCTCACTGATATAATGTGGCTTCTCGCCTGTGAAATTCCTTTACGATTTCTGTCTTCCTTGATAACTACAATCTTCAAAGATTTAAATACAAGGTCAATCTCTATCTTCTGTCTTCCTGAACCTTTGTTGCGGGCAGTATGTACTTTGGCGTTTGAGTTGGGAAACATGAGTAATTCTCTTGATCTCTATTCATCACTCTCTCTCTCTCTCTCTCTCTCTCTGTCTCTGTCTCTCTCTCTCTGTCTCTCTCTCTCACTCTCTAAGAATATTCATCTCTATTGATCTATCTATCTATCTATCTATCTATCTATCACAGTCTGTTCATATCTATCTATCTATCTATCTATCTATCTATCTATCTATCTATCACAGTCTGTTAATATCTATCTATCTATCTATCACAATCTGTTCATATTCATCTATCACAGTCTGTTCATATCCATTCATCTATCTATCTATCTATCCATCTATCTCAGCCTGTTCATATTCATCTATCTATCATCTATCTATCTATCTATCTATCTATCTATCTCAGCCTGTTCATATCTATCTATCTAGTCTGTTCATATCTATCTATATCTATCTATCTATCTATCTATCTATCTATCATCAAGTCTGTTCATATCTATCTATCTATCACAGTCTGTTAATATCTATCTATCTATCTATCTATCTATCTATCTATCTATCTATCTATCACAGTCTGTTCACATATCTATCTATCTATCATCAGTCTGTTAATATCTATCTATCACAGTCTGTTCATCTATCTATCTATTTATCTATCTATCTATCTATCACAGCCTGTTCATATCTATCTATCTATCACAGTCTGTTAATATCTATCTATCTATCTATCTATCTATCTATCTATCTATCACAATCTGTTCATATCTATCTATCACAGTCTGTTCATATCTATCTATCTATTTATCTATCTATCTATCTATCACAGCCTGTTCATATCTATCTATCTATCACAGTCTGTTAATATCTATCTATCTATCTATCTATCTATCTATCTATCTATCTATCTATCTATCTATCTATCTATCTCAGCCTGTTCATATCTATCTCACTTGTTGCGGGCGTATGCAGGTCATGTGTTTGAGTTGGGAAACATGTGTATTGATCTCGTGATCATATCTCTGTCTCACTAAGAACATTCATTTCTATTGCTCTCTTTTTCTATCTATCTATCTATCTATCTATCTATCTATCTATCTATCTATCTACGCATTTTGCTTGAACTCTCTTGAGATCTCTCACTATCTAAGAAAATTAATCTCTATTGCTCTGTGTCAATATATCTATCTATGAATATATATATATATATATATATATATATATATATATATATATATATATATATATATATATACAGCACAGATAAACGCGACATAACTTAGAAAAAGGCAATACCTTACATTAAACAAACACCTGAGAAAAATGTGAATAAACAAAAATGTGAATAAATAAAATTAAAAAAAATAATTAAATAATAAATAAATGTTGACAAGATGCACACATGAACGCGGGTAAGTGTAGCAATGATAATGAACAAGAATGAATTAGGTGATCAGTGATGGCTAACGAGCAGAAGATTGGCAGCAATGTGGAGTAGGCCCATTCAAACCCACAGTTTTTCATACTCAGTAGCCTGTGCAATGATATGAATCATAACCCTTGTCGCCTAATCAGGAATTATTGGGATGGTACCATAGACCTGGCTACCCATAATCCACCACTCTCTAGCATGTATAAATAGTCGAGCCAAAACACAACACACATGGGATGAAGACCGTTTACAAACATAAAACATAACTTTCCACATTAGTACAATGTCATCATCGGAGTGTTATTTTTTTTCCAAGAAAAAATTGTTGTGCTCATCTGAAATATCTAAGCTTTAACTAATATTTGTTTAATGTTTATTAAACATAGACACTTTTAAAACTTAGTTACCTCCCCTGACATTTACATCGTGAAATTTAAAGTATATAACCTTAGCGTTTTTCACTTCATAGTTAAAAATAATTACATTTAGATGAACGCAACTCGGAGTAAATTAATATGTATCACAATCGTAATTTTCTCTCTTCTTTTAAGAAGGATACCAAGATGCTTGTCCGTGAATATGTATGGATCCTTTTGAAAATATAAATAGACAAAACTTGTTTAAATTATTCAATGAAATAAATTTCGTAATGAAAACATGCTGTCTGTGACACAATTTATGGTGCGTGAAAAAAAAAAAAGAAAAAAAAAGGCGAGAATTAAATTAAGTGATAAGAATCTATCACGAAAAGACGATGTTCTTTTTTTTCTAACATGGAAAAGTGGTAAAGATTTTTATTTTCATTAGCGAAGAAAGTAAGGTCGCGGATCTGTCGCGTTTGATTTATGACGGCGCACCGAGTATGGCAATGGTGAAAATTTCAGGTCGGTCGGGTGGCCTACAGGGCAGAATTCTAAGAGATAAAAGTTAATTGGGTCGCGGGAAAAATGTCCGCTGGACCACCCGCAGAATATCAGGAAGGAAAGACTGACCCATTAGCTATCTACGGAGATGTCGTTTGGAAAAGGCACCTGTTTTGTTTCAAGAACTGGCCATGATAGCAAAATTATTTTATCAGAACGAATAATTGGCTGTGGATATCGCCAGATGACCACCCACTTGTTTGGCGAAGGTCTCGATTGATAAAGTCCAGGTGACATTCGGTTAAGATAAGAGTCTAAGGATTTGTTGTCGAGAAGAAGAAAAAGAAAGAAAATAAAAATAAAAAGGAAAATAATTTTTTTTCTTTGAGCAAGATTTTTAAACCGAGGCTAGTCCGGCCACACCCACGCCGCTGAGCGCCCATTGGCTGAATGGTGGCATGAGCGGTTGGCGATGGTAATCATGTGAAGATGGAGGGGAGGCCTGTTGACCCCCCCCTTGGAGGGATTGGTGTGAGATGCCACTATGAGAGAGAGGGGAAACCCGTTGACACCCTCTGAGGGTATGGGTTAGATACCAATATGAGAAAGGAAGAATTTGGGAAGACGAAAGACTTCCAAAAATGGAAATTAATAATTCTTCCTGACCGAGAACAAAGATTAATGCGGATTTAGAATTATCAATGAACCTCAAACCCCGACAGGCCCACCCCGGTTTTGGTCGGCGTCCATATAAGCAGAGTTGAGTGAGCAGTTCGCAGTTGAATTGTGTTGAGTCGGAGCTGAGCTGCAGTTTGCAGAGTGAGACCCGCCTCGCAGGAAGCTGACTGAAAGATATCCACACAATCACGACCTCAACTTCTAACCGAGAACAATTTATTTTTTGAAGAACGACTTAGACTCACACCACCAAAACAAGTTTTACGAATATCGCCTGAAGATACACCAAGAACCAGTTTCTTAAAGAACAAACAACTTAAGATGTTAAGACTCGCCTAATAAACACAAAGTGTCACGAATCCATATAGCGGG